TTTTGATCGTGTGTACTCATGCATTGGACAAACTTATTGCTCTATTAGAGAGTGTTCTTTATGGCGAAATTGAGCACGACGACGAAGTGTGCACACTTTACGATCAAATAGATGAACTTATAATAAAGAATCTTCAATACTTCCGTTCTATTGGAGGTAAGCCAAATTATGATTCTGACTTACACGCATTTAACATTGAAATCTCTTGAGCGATACAGAATTTGGTCCGTGGGCCCCCATTTTTGCCGAGTTTGATTCCTTGGGAGTTACAACACTTTAGAACGGGCATGTTGTAACGCCCTACAACATGGTCTATTAGAATTGATTGTTTTAAATAATTAATTACTGTTCCGGTCCAGAGTTGGGGAAAAAAAAGTTCTTAGAAAAATAATTTGAACATGTCATTAAATTCGTTTTGACTATCTGAGTCCAAAAACACAAATGGATCTCAATTCAGACCCATTCAGGGGGAAAACCGCGTACCGTTCAAATTAGATTCTACACAACGGAGTAAATTTTAGGGAGATAACTCCCCATCCAATCCTCTCCCATGCCACACCCTTCCTCTCCCATAACTCCTCTCCCTTTAATTCTTCATTAGTAACCATTAATTCCCCATTCATGTTCTCCATTTAAACCCCCCTTCTCTCTTCACTTCCCCATCACATTTTGTAACCTCCACTCACACACTCAACTCCCTCAACTCCTTTCTTCCATCTCTTGTTCAGCCAAGCAGTAGCAGCTCAGGGAGACAGTTCCGGTGAGTAGACGAGGAGGAAGAAGAGAAGGAGGTGACCACGAGAAACCATTCTTCGTTCATTCATCGTCATCCATTCGTTCATCTCGTCATATCATTCCGTCAACCCCATCATTTAGAGGTGAGTAGTTGTCTCCTCTAATTCTAGAACATCTAGTTATAATCTATGTCGTTATATCCATAGGAATATCGTACGCAACCAACGTGGAATCTATGCATGTTCGTAGGTTAGCCATCAAAACATTCACTATGTAAAACTTATATATATTGGCCTAGGAACCACTAGGAATATATTCATCAATGTTTACATTATTGTTCTAAAAGAATCAGGGCGTTAAGTTCACAAAACGATCAAAATGAAGCAAGGGATAGTGGACTGTCTACGGGACGGTCGACCGCCGCTATGGATGGTGGACCGTTTCCCTTAACCATTCGTCGGCAACCACCGTAATGGTCGACCTCCGGCCGTGACGGAAGATCGGGGTGGACCGCCAGTGTTCCAGACCTCCATAACGCATCCCACGGTTGACCGCCGGTAGGGCACGATCGATCGTTCCGCGGGCAGAATTCCAGGCAGTTTGTAGAACGAGTCCTGTTGACCATATTGACTCAGAATCTGATTGTATGTTTGCATGAAATGTTAATCTTCATTATGTATGTTATTTAATTGATATATTCTTGGCGTTGACAAAAGGTAAATATATCAAGCATTGATCATGTTCATCCTAGACGCATGTCTTAGGTTTATCATCATGTGCATACCGCTGTGCGCCTACTACAGTGGACCCGTCCAGGAACCTTTTGGGATCCAACGGGTTTTCATCAGGTGGGCTTTGTGTACGTACATAGTAGTCAGGTTACGGCTACTACCCAGTTTTGCTAGTTCACTTGCGACATTTTCGTCGAGCCCGGCTCATTACCAGAGTGCAGGGGTGATCTTGTCAAGTGAGACTAAGCGAGGGGTGTCCCTGATAGTTTAAGTCATGCATCAAGTCATATCTTCATCATGTGTGTTCCATGTTATGTCAACACTCAATGTGGTCGTCATCCTCATGTATGTTCCACGTCACATCAACATTCAAGGTGGTTGTTATTCATTTTGTTATGTGTAATAATATCCCATCAAGTGCAAATTAAACAATTAGCAAACATGTGGTTTTCCGTACGTTAAGTACAAATATTAATATGGGTATAATCATATGGGTTATCACTTCATGTTCTTTTGTTAGATTCACTCCTCAGCTTTTGCTGAGCGTGTAGTTGTTTTTGCTACACGCAGGTAGACATGAAGATACAGGTGCTAACCCTGGAGGACAGTGATGATGGGAAGATGGGCGGCGCACGGACAAGTTTAATAATTAAATATATTTAACAAATTAATCATTTGGGCAAAAACCCACCATTTGTCGTTTTACTTATTTTGGACTTATTTATTTACTTTCGCTTATACCCTGCATTTGTAACACACACGTTTTGGGGTTAATTCCCTAGCATTTATTTCACCAATTAAACCCAACTATTTCCCATAATAAATACACATTAATGTTTTACGTTACGGACGGTTCTCGGACTGCCCATGTAACCTTACCGGTTCGTGGGGTCGCGGGTGAACCGGGTCCACGGAAGGCGGGTGTTACACATGTTGGGCGCTCTAAAAGTTCTCATTGATAGTCCACCTTCATGCCAAATCTGGTCTCTACGATAATTGACCGAAATGTTGAAGCACATGATCACGCATCCAAGAAGGAACCAAGCGTTGACTCACAAGGTGGAGATGATGTGGACATCCGACATGACGCCATAAACAAAGATAATGGGAGATCCAGCGTTGTGGAAAAAAAGAAAATCCTCTTATAGAAGAGGTTGCTTATGTCGACATGCTAGATCATACTTTTCAGGAATTTTCTACCTCAGCTGGTGTGGTCATTGCAGAGTATGATATTTTAAAAAGTGTTGACAAAGTGACAGATGAAGATGGTAAACAAGCACACTCGCTTATGTTGATTGACACCATCACGTTGTTTGAGCTTGTCGATGTGATCAAGACGGAGCACCTGATTTCACCAAGAGCAACTACATATGTTTTGCGCCTCGTCTCATCTTTCCAGCACTTTGCTCCAAGATCCAAGATGGTGAAAGATTCAAAGGGTAGACTACTCCTTCGGTTTAGCATTCTTTCTCTAGTCCTAAAGCACGAGTGGGAGCCTCCACCTTGAGGACAAGGTGGATTTTAAGGGGGTGTGAATGATACGGATAGTTTATTAGAATATTTCAATTAGCTATATAATTATTTAGTAGTTATTTATCATTATTTATTAATATTCTATAGATTAGGGTTTTAGTATGGGGCCCAAGCCCATTACGTTAATTAGGGATTCTCGTATCTTTATATATTGTACTCTCGTATTATTATTATGGAATGAATCAATAATAAAAAATTCTCTTAATCTCTCGTCTCTCTTTTCTTGAAGCCCAGAAACACTCGAAGTTTTCCTCCTCTTTTTGCCTCCTCTTTCTTGGAGCCCGAAGACGCTCGAAGTTCTTCCATATCCGATACGATATTCGTATCAATGTAATATGGATGGAGGATATATATTTTATTTAAAGTTTAAAAAAATAAAAAATCAATGTTTGAACATGTTTAGTGTATGTTACACATGAAAAATTAATTATAGCAATATTTTTTTTTACAATTGAATACTTAAAATTAAATAAATAAAACCGAATTTAAAAAAAATAAAAAATTACATTTACTCGGGCCGGTCCCGGGCCGGTCCTTACCTTAAGCGGTCCGGTCCTCGGTCCACAAAGTTCCTCTTATTCGGTCCCGGTCCGGTACGGGTTTGACCCGACGAACTCCCCTAATGATTATTATTTGATTGTTAATTTGATGAATTAATGATGACAAATGTTTTGAATGATGATCATGAATTGTTAAATTAAGAATAATGGATTAATGAATAATATTGTTAAGGCTACTTAGAAGACCTCTAAGATAGACCTCTGATTAAAACGGACCTTGCGGGTATAAAATGTATATTTGGTGGCCTTGGGTAAAAACGTACGTACGGGGTCTAAAAACCAAACTTGAGGATCACTCCTTTGTGTATGGTACCTTAAGCAAAGGATAGTTTAAGACGATTGAAATTATGTACTTAAACTAATGATCTAGCTTAAGAGTTGGATAGACTTAAGGATTGGATAAAGTACCTTAGACTGGAATATAGTTTAAGAATTGATTAGAAATATCTGAAACTAGAATTCGTTTAATAATTGATAAATATGAAAGAGATTGGCTTTAGACTAAGAATAGTATAAGGATATTGTTGAATACGAATGTTGAATATTGAATTTGAATGTTGAATATTGAATTTGAAAATGAATGTTGAATATGGAACAATGAATGTTGAAAAGTGAATATTCAAACTGATCATTATGTGCATGAAAATCAAATGTGGTGGTCCCAAAGTGGTGAGATACAAAGTCTAGAGAGGGGTGAATAGACTTTGTTACAAATTTAAAAACATTTTCGTTTTGAAAACGTGAAAATAAGTGTTAATCTAGAGCTCTTGTGAACATTGGATTGTGTGCGGAATTTGGTGGGTAGTGAGCAGTAATCAATATGGATGGGTTAGTTTTCACAATTAATATAATTGCAAGTAATAGTAAAGATAAAAGAGAGAGACACGAAAACTTTAACGAGGTTCGAAGGTGGGGTAATCCTTCTACGTCCTCAAAATTCACTATGTAGTTGGTTGTTGAATAATGAACCAGCAATTACACTTGTGTGAATTTCTACACGGTATATCTTTGCAAGGCCAATGTTGCTACTGCACTCGTTCTGGCTTTGTTGCTCCTTCGAAGGTCACGCTTCTTCAACAACTGCAAGATCCGAACAATAGGACTTGCAAGATCAACTTGTAAGAAAGTTGTTGTACCCCCTTTTAATCAAGAAATTTGATTAAAAGTTGTTGGTACTTGAGGCAAGGAAACCTTCAAGTGTTTACACTATAGCTCTTTGGAAGGAGGAGAAGTTTGCTTCTAGATAAGGAGTTTAGAATTCTCTCTTTATCAAGCTTTTTTTGTAACTGTGAATGAGATAGCTTTGTTGTTAAAGATTGCTTTTCTTGTATCTTCGTTCTTCTCTATCTCATCGTTGATTTCTCCAGTCCTCCAACTTTGTCATTTCCGTCACAACTGGACAGCCTGCGGTATTTTGGCATATCTCCATCGTTTCTTCACGGAATTGTAAACCGTTTGATTCAGTGGATTCCTAAGATGTAAGGCTATAACTTTCGTATAGAAAGTATTTCGATTTAACATATGTAAGATAGCGTAAATCGGACATGAAGTCAAGGGAAAGTTGCTGTCCAGAATTTTGAATATGTCGATGAACACGATTCCGACGATTAACTCACTAACTTCAACATTCCAATGCCAAACCTTCTCTATGATACCTTCCGGATGTTCCTAATAATTGTTAGAGAGTTTATGGTAAGTATTTGGAATGAAATAATATGAATTTGGTGAAGAAACACATGCCAACCCGAGGAGCTCGCCACCACTGGCGCAGTCCCGGTATTTTGGCCACATCTTTTTCGTTACTTAACGAAATCGCGAGCCATTTGTTGGGATGGATTCGTATCGTCCGGGGCTACAACTTTGGTTCAGAAAGTATTTCGAGATAATGGATGGAAAATATTAGCTTTTACCTAGAAGTGGGCTGCTGTGTTTGAACTCAGGATTTTAGAACTTTAGATGGTTTCTAGCTTCCTCTTCTTCTTCCTTGAACCAACTATGGAGTTTAAGCTTTCTTTTCTTTTCCTTTTGTTTGGCCGACAGAGAGAGAAAATGGAGAGGGAGGAATGGATGAATGATGGTGGATGATAGTGAAGATTATGATGATGATGATGGTATTAAGTGGTGGAGTATTATATTGGAAATCCATTAGTGGAATATTGTGGTGGCTAAGGATTGGAATGGAGGAAGCTACAGATTTGGGGAGGGATTTGGGATATTAGTTTTTGGACTTTTGTCCAAACTGAGTAATTTACCTCAATCGGTACGCGCTTTTTCGCCTAAACTGCTCCGAATTGAAAACGGATTGTATTTTTAGAATTAGACTGTCAAAACTAGAATTTTGACGTAATCAAAATATTTTTCTAAGAACTTTTATTTTTCTCAGTGTTCAGGTCTGTCTCCGTTATAAATTAATTTAATAATATGAATGAGATAAAAATATATGAATTAAATCCAAATGATAAATATGATGTTGTCAAGTGTCAAAATTATGATTTCTAATCTGATGAAATCACTTTTGAATTTAGTTTATTTTATGGGTCAAAGTTACAAATTTTACTATTTAAAATTGACATAACTTGAAATCTTTAAATCAGATTGGTTCTTAAAATGTACCGTTGGATTCGTCTCTTCGAGACATATCCAAAAAAATAAGTTTTTAACAAAAAGTAATTATTTTGAAAGTCCATTTATTTTTGGTCAAACGTATAAATATTCCTTATCGGACAGAATTTACTTTTGTTTTATAATAAATTTTAGGCCATATTTTGTGGCTTTACAATAATATTTTTCCCAACAATTTTCCCCTTTTTGATGATGACAAATAAGTGTTTAAGAGTTCTGGTCGCTGTACTGAGAACTAATTTTATAACTTTCTTTTAGTTTCTCATAATATACAGCTTGTTAACAAAAACTCTTAAACAAATACAATTCAAATTAGAATAATTCCTAAACCATGTTTCTGTCTTGAGATTTGTGATATTTTCTACCATTTGCCGCTTTCACTTCCAGCAGATTTTGCTTGATAGTGCAGATGGCGGTGCGTTTGATAGATCTTTAATATCCAAAGTGGATATTCAAGATCTTGGAAGCAACACATCTCTCCAAAAAGCAAAAAAACAAGAACAAAAAAAAGAAAAGAAAGTGGAGGGAAAAGAGGCGGCGGTGGAAGAAAAGAAAAAAGACAGAAAGACAAGAAAAAGGTTTTGGAAAAGAGAATTGATTGTGAAAAAGATAAAATAAAGGTTTTTAAAGATGAAGGAAAAAAATAAAATTTTAGAAAGAAAATTTGAAAAATGCTTGTGAGAGGGAGCAGAGACTGCACAAAAATTTTGAAAAATACTTGGGAGAAGGGTGCAGAGACTGCTTGAAAAATAAAATTTGAAGAACAAAAAAAGAGAAAAAGAAAAAAATATTTTTAAAAGAATTAGAAGAAACAAAAATAGAGAGAGTGTTGTTTCTAGAGAAGGTGTGTGGTGTAATCCTGAAAAATACGAGATTTCCACCATAGCCCTTCTCTACTGCCAAGATTCTCACCATAGACCTTGAATGTCTTTTCTTCTCATTAGGCTTTCTCCATTGCCGTCTATGAGGGTGAGAAAGAAAAATTTCTCCATTGAGGATATTTTTCTTGGTGTTTTTCTCAGACTGTGAGTTTGAAGACTTTTCATATTGAGAGAGTTGTTTGTGATAGGAATGGATTGGAATGTCTTTGTTTAAATAGGAGAAGAGTTTGAGAGAGGGTAGGTTCACGGGTTCCATTAAGTGGGTAGTTGGAACGGTGAGAGTAAAAGAGTTTCAACTTCCAAGAAGTTGAAACGTGGAAGGAATCTTTTACCAGTTACCAATGTGTTGAAATTGTTCCAATTAAAAATCAGTTTCGTTTGGTTTGAAAACGTAACTGTTCTGGTTTGGCTAAGCCCAAAAGAGTGGCCCAAAAAAAATCTTTCTACTAAAGGGAAATTATTCATATTGGGTTCTCAAAGCCCAAAATAAAACTATCATTTTTCATTCCCTATAGTTCTATTTTCTAATTAGGACGAGGTAGTACCAAAAAAAATTGTAATTACTATTTTTCCAAAGTCCTGTACATTATAAAAATCCTAAGGACCAGTACTTTAGAGCAAAGTTGGAAATGAATTAGAGATTAAATCTTAGCTTAAGAAGGCAGATTTTGTAAAGTACCTCAATCGGAGATTTCCAACTTTAGTACTAAAACTGAGATATCTGTCTTCCATTGCTAAGAGCTCATCAATAATTCATTGCAAAAAACAGTTAAGTTCCCCCTGAATATATGCGCTTTAAAGATAATTCTCAAAATCATACTTAAAATGAATATGATCAAGCATAATAAGCATAATTAAGAGAAGTGTTGAGCAATGTTTAAACCAAAACAAGCAATGTTTAAACAAGAAAGTGTTTTCATCAAAACAAAATATTGTTCTCACCAATGCCTTGCATCATTCCACACTGTTCTTTGATGTGCTTGATGTTCTAGTATCTCTCCTTTGTGTGGGCATCATTTGAGAAGTGGGATGCAATGGTTCCTACAGCTTCTGTTCCATCTAGACCTGAGCTAGACAGATGATGTGCTGAGTTCTCCGGATTGCTCTGCTGAGCTTCAAGGATCAAATCAGTCATGTTCAGATGCGATGGAATGTAGATAAGTTCTCCTTGCTTGACTTCAATTGGGAGCTCTAAAATCAGGGATGGACTGTTGTGTTGGACAATTACTTCCATCTTGCGATTGCCAGTGGGGGTGACAAAATGTCTGAACAGTCTGAAAGCTTCCTTCTGATTTTCAATAATAACCTTCAAGCAGTCTTTAGTTACTACCTGATTTGCTGAAGACACTGCCAGGGCTGACCTAATGTCCATCTGGAGAAAGGACATTTGCTTCTGTAAGCTCACTGTGACTGTTGCAATCTGCTCTTTAATTTTATTAACCTCATTGAGTTGAAGATGACAGTCAGATGCATACGCCTCCATTGTGTCGCTCACAGAGTTACTCAATAGAGAAATGATCTCTAGAGCTTTGTCCACTGATTTGCTTATCTCCTTGAGATTGGAGCAATGTTTTTCTTCGGATTTCTCTATCAGCTTGTTATGCCTAGCTTCCATCTTTTCTATCTCTTGCCTAAAGGAGGCATGCTGAGACGCTAGGGCTGATTCAATCAACCCTTGGACCTTTCTTGTCCAGGTTTCCAGTACCTCATCCGGAAGTGTAGAGGTGGAAGAGCTGTGAAAGTGTAAGTTTGTTATCTGATGAGAAGAAGGTGCTCTGTGGAAGAGTGGCAGAGAGAGGGATTCAGCATCTCCTTGCTCAGCTCCTTCATAATCAATCTTGAGCGTCTTTTCTAATTCTTCCTATGTCTCATTCATGAATTTTGAGATTGTTGGGAAACGAGGCTTGGATAATGCAGCGGAAAACAAAAATTTATAGTCCAAGACTCGATTCCACCCAAGAACAACTTACGTAAATTACTAGCTATAGTAAGAAATTTACCTTAACAGTGAAAACGAAGAACGGAGGAACGGTCGGGGATGGTTTTGAGGAGATGAACGTAGCGCCAAACGTATGAAGCCTCCAACGTATCCACACGAACTTGCTCCGGAGTCCAAGATTAAACTTGTGCTAGCAAGTTTAATATAGGATTGTAAAAACTATAATAATACTACTTTGGGAGTAATAAATATATAGTAAAATATTTATCTTATAAATATTTGTTTATAATATTTTGTGTATATTTCTAACACTTTAGAAAAATAACTTTGAACACAAAATAAAATTTTCTTCTCTCTAAAATTGGGATGGCCGAAAAACACACACATAAAATGGGGAGGGATTTTTTCTCATTTTATAATAAACAACTTAAATGAATTTCTAGGAAATAGCTTAGGGACAAAACAAATTAGGATTAATGTAATGTCCCCAACCAACACAACAAGACAAATATCCTTTTGTTAATCAAATATTTGATTATAAAATCAAATATATCATTAGGTGGAATATCAAAATATGTTTTGTATTTTTCCCCTTAGAATTTCGGCCCATATTATATTAAAATACATTACATTTTATTTTTGCATCAATAATTATCATATAATTAAAATGATGAAAATAAAAGTTATATATCTATATCTATATATATATATATATATATATATATATATAATAAAATTTGTTTTGTCAAAATATAATTATCATATAATTAAAATGAGACAAACAAAATATAATTTAAAAAACATATGTATTTTCGAAATACACATATATATAAAATTATCACAACTATATATTTAATATTACTCCCACTAGTGTAGTACACTACTCCCATACAAGTCCTAAGTGTGTGACCCTTTAGGTATCCATAACACTGGCAATGATATTAATATAAATTAATACCATAGATAATAAGCGGTATCTAGCAACACATTATTATCCCCAGATTATGAAAAAGACGTTCATCTCATCAATACCTTCTACGACACAAGACGTTCTATAACTATTATCCTTCTGTCCTATATGTCATGATTTAACACAAGGCATGGGATGTGTATCCTTGTATAGTTAAATTAGCTGTTACTGAATCTCAAGTAGACTGGCAGGGATCAGATATTTATCAGTCTCTAGATAGCGACATATCTGGGCATGGCCATGCACTTTCCCAAGTCCTACTATTCAGTGGGCCCATTGACATTATACTTCTATACAGTAGAAGGGACAGATCCTGTATCTGTTATTCACATCTCTAAATATGCTTAGCGGCATACCCAACGCATAACTGTACGTCTACCAGTATTTCAGATAGCATTAGTTATGAATCAAAGCATACGGCCCCACATATC